CAGACCTCTTCCACTCTTCATATTTCCAAATTCCCTGCCATCTTTTGTTTCAATCTCTTCATTCTTTGAGGAGACTGAAGACTATTTATAATGCATCAAAGTTTATCTTTCCACTTAGAATTTTATCTGTACACTTCTCTTTTATCTCCCAGGAAGGTGTATTTTAGTTCTGTTAACTCCTGGCCACTAATTTTTTTTAAGTATATTTTGAGTAGAAATGACCAAAGAAGGATTTGACTCACAGAGAAATGGAATTCTATGAATGGTTATTGCTGCCTGGTCTGGGGTAATATCTACCCAATGGCTTCTGCATACAAAGAGCAGCTTCGAAGTCTTTGATCTGTTGTCAGAATAATAAGACACTCTCCCATCCTCTACCACAATTATGAGTCATTTTAGCCTAAGGGCCCCATCAAGGAAATTCACACCTTCCAACCTGATTAATATATTTACTTATTAACAACATTTACAGAAAACCCATGGCAATCCCTATCTTCTCCCAGATGTTATTTGGAATAAGAGCCAAATGATACAGATCTGTGCTGGTACACACCATCCCAGATTTTACATAATTATGAATGTTTCTTTTGGAGAACTGACATCCTCTATGGTCCAATTATGCCTCTGGGTTCTTTCATTTTTCAAGAAGCAGTTAGAATGCTTGATACTTTTGGTTTACCAACAGTTTCCCTCAGATAAATTTTTACTCCTTTGCTTTTACACCATTGTGTACTAACAGCTTATCTTCACCTAATGCCACTGGGCTGTGTTCTCAAATTACATTCATTTGGTCACCCCAAAAGGTCTTAATAAGTTTCCCAGGCACCAGCTGTGACATAATTTGTCTTCCTAGCAGTTAAAACTTCCAAAGTGTTCCCTGGGCTACAAAGTAGAGGTAACTTTTTTTTTCTTTTGGCAGGGATTCAGTTGCAACTGGTGCATATATTATGAGCATATGCTGTCAAAAGGAAAGAATTCTCCAACAGAATACAGGTATATGAGAAATTTAAATGACTGGCACCTTAAAAACTACTGGGAAAACTTTCTATCTCAGTTAAGTTTCTGGCATAACATACTAAAAAAAAAAAATGAAGCTTAGCTTTTAATAAGCCCTTCTTATCTGTGTTTTGATTTCTAAGATTTCAGTAACACATGGTTAACCATGGTCCAAAAATAACAGAAAATTTCAGAAATAAAGAACTTTCAATTTGCACGCTGTTCTGAGTACCTCACTTCATCTCATCACATAGGCATTGTATCATCTCATATCTTCACAAGAGTGAGTACAGTACAATAAGATATTTTGGGAGAAAGAAAAAGCTCACAGTCACATGAACTTTATTACAATATATTGCTATAATTGTTTATTAGTTATTGGTGTTAATCCCTTACTGTGCCATACACTTTATCATATGTATATGTGTATGTATGCACAGGGAAAAAAACAATATATACACAGGGTTCTTGGATCTATCTTCAGTTTTAGGACAACTAGAAAAAGTTTAGAAAGGATGACTTACAAAAAGTATGTTCCTAAGAAATAGAAACTACAGATATTTACTTGAATTTATATTTGGGACACTTAAATAGGTAAGTGCTAAATAACTGATGTGTTATACAAAATATTATCCATCTACCAAATTTTAAAAGCAGCCTTTAATTTTTCTTATATTCCTTCACTGAAAGACCTCAATAAGTAAAAAACAAGAGAAAACATTTAAAATTTTTCAACAGATTACAATGTACTGCTGTTCTAACATAATAAAAAAAAATCAATGTTTTTAGACTCATAAACTATTTAAAATAAGCTTTTAAAAATACTGTGGGATGTGAGGGCGATCTGGCTGCGACATCTGTCACCCCATTGATCGCCAGGGTTGATTCGGCTGATCTGGCTGGCTAGGCGGGTGTCCCCTTCCTCCCTCACCGATCCATGTGCGTCCCTCCCGAAGCTGCGCACTCGAAGAGGACAACCTTCCCCCCAGAAGAGAAGACCAGTCTTCGGTCAAGGGTATACGAGTAGCTGCGCTCCCCTGCTAGAACCCCCAAAAAGTACTGTGGCCCTGCTGGTGTTTCTCAGTGGTTAAGAGTGTTGGCCCTCCCACCACAGGGTCGTGGGTTCAATTCCCAGTCAAGGGAGTGTACCTGAGTTGCAAGTTTGATCCCTAGCCCTAGTCAGGGCATGTGTGAGAGGCAACCAATTGCTGTGTCTCTCTCACATCAATGTCTGTCTGTCTGTCTCTCTCCCGCTACTCCCGCCCCATTCTCTGTAAAACTCAATGGAAAAAATATCCTCGGGTGAGGATTAACAACAAAAAACATGTATGTATAGCGGACACTAACCTAGCATTATCTTGGCAATATTCAAGTTTGACTCTAAAAAAAATGTAAAAATCAGTCCTAACTGGTTTGGCTCAGTGGATAGAGTGTCGGCCTGCGGACTGAAGGGTCCCAGGTTTGATTCCAGTCAAGGGCATGTACCTTGGTTGCGGCACATCCCCAATAGGGGGTGCGCGGGAGGTAGCTGATCGATGTTTCTCTCTCATCGATGTTTCTAACTTTCTATCCCTCTCCCTTCTTCTCTGTAAAAAATCAATTAAGTATATTTTTTTAAAAAAAGTAAAAATCACAATATAACATTATTAACGAAAGTGGTTTCTACCAAGCTGTTTGCCGAACTCTCAAGTCCCTTGTCATTTATCTTACTAACTGCTAATAGAAAAGATGAATTCTGCCATTTCTAAATCTCCACTCCTAGCCCCAGTACGTGTAAGGGTGGGAGGGATAAGAATGAGTACCACAAAACCAGGCAGAATGCCCCTCCCCCAAAGTTTCCCACCTCCATGCTCTCAAGGTCATTCAGCATTTTTATGGAGAGAAATGCTGAATGACCTTGAGAGCATGGGTGTGGGAAGTTAATGTTTGTAACCATTCAAAACATTTTTTAATATATTTATTCATTTCAGAGAGGAAGAGTGGGAGAGGGAGGGAGGGAGAGAGAGAGAAACATCAACGATGAGAGGGAATCATTGATTGGCTGCCTCCTGCACCAATGTGCCCTTGACGGGAATCGAACCCGGGACCCTTCAGTCTGCAGACCAACGCTCTATCCACTGAGCCAAACCAGCTAGGGTACCATTCCAAATATTAACTCCTCTTTTTTCACCATCCAGGAACTGTCTTACTTTCTTAAAGGACATCACTGTCTGCTGAGGAGAAAGTGATAAGGAAGAGAAGTTCCAGCCCTGACAACTGTGATATATAGCGAAGTTCACTTGCTATCTCATGGAAAGAGATAAATCTTTTTTCTGTCTAAGACTAGTTTTTTACCTGCTCTAAGATCCTTTTTTAAACTAACAGGAAACTTGCTTCATCAATTACCATCACCGCTCACCACCAATATCACCTTCTCTGCCGCACTTTTATTCTCAAGATATCTTTGTGCTCAAGTCGAAACATCTTAAAAAATAAAAATAAAAATTGGCCTTTAATTTAGCATCTTCTTCTAGGTACTACCTTCCCCTCTTAGGCAAATTTTTTGAAAGAGTGGCTATATAGTTACTGCTCTCAATTCCTGCTCAGAATTTTCCTGAGCCTCGTTCTCATTTTACATCCCCTTTCTATGGCTTCAACTATCATCCATAAGATGAACATTTTCCAAAATCTTATTCTAGCCAAGACTAATATGAGCACTAGACTCCAGCCATCTATAATATCATCTATATACTATATGGACCTCAAAGTCAACATCCAGAAACTGAATTCATAATCTTTTTAACAAATTTACTCATCATATCCTGGTTAACCATCTTTTATCTAGCCTAGATTCTATAAGTTATGTAATCCTCCTCCGTAGGTTAATCAATAGAGAAGTAATCAGTAGAGAATAAGCCAATGACTACCCTCACTTTTCCGGTTGCCAAAATGGGAATAATCATGCCTATGTTCACTTACACTACTAAGAAATCAGTAAGATCTATGAAAGTGAATGTTCGATTGTTTGATTAATTGGAGAAAGGGAAAGGCCATACTTCATTTGCTCCAAACTCTCTCAACATGTGAAAACTCCCCATGACTGGAAGTTAAAATTCCCATTGTATTGTGGAGATTCTGCTAACTAATGACCACAGAAGGCTCAGAATGAAGCTAGCCCAGGGGTGGGCAAACTTTTTGACTCGAGGGCCACAATGGGTTCTTAAACTGGACTGGAGGGCCGGAACAAAAGCATGGATGGAGTGTTTGTGTGAACTAATATAAATTCAAAGTAAACATCATTACATAAAAGGGTACGGTCTTTTTTTTTTTTAGTTTTATTCATTTCAAATGGGCCGGATCCGCCCGAGGGCCGTAGTTTGCCAACAGCTGAGCTAGCCTATTTAACAATAGGCAAACATGGTATTGACCATACTTCACTACACCTCCCATTGGCTAATCAGTGAGATATGCAAATTAACCTCCAATAAAGATGGCGGTTAATTTGCATATGTAGGCACAAAGCGGTGGAGCGAAGACTGAAGGCGGCTCCAGCCAGAGCGAAGGCCTGGGTCCCAGGTGCCAGAGGAAAACTGGTGCCAGCAGCCAGGGGAAGGGAAGGCCTATTGCACTAATCTTTTTGTGCAACAGGCCTCTAGTTTAAATTATAATAATTTAAATTATTTCTATAATGATGAGGGCATTGATTCAAAAGTACCTGCCCTCAGTGAATTTGTTATTTACTTGGAAAATACTAAATGCACACAAATATTATGACATAAAAGCCTGTAAATACAATTAGTGTTACTATACAACAATTCCCAATTTAAAAATAAAAAAAACATTTCAGAATTTCTTGAGAAGAAAAAGGAAATAGAAAAAAAACTGTAATCACAAGTAACCCAAAAGAGAAAGTATAGTTTTATATCACCAATTTAATGTCACTGATAAAATACACAAGTTTTATATAATACTGCAAAGAAAGTGTTGCAAAAAGCAAGACACTTTCTGCTATACAACACAATTACCTTTACTTGGGACTGATTTCTTGACTGAGGCTACATGATCTTCAGAGCTTGCAAGACGCCTCAAAACATCAGCCAAAGCTGCCTTTAGCACAGTGATTTCATCTTCTTGTTGTTGAACTCGTAATTCAAGAGCTGAGAGGCGATCTTGAACATCAGAAGTACTTGCAGCAGATATACTATCATCTATAAAATAAGGGAAATATGGTATATTTTAAGTAAACTGCTTAAGAATCTAATGACAAGAACTATGTCTTTTAAAAGATAAGAAAAATTAAAGGAAAAAAACTTATTTTTATACAGATTAACTTATACAAAAATTTTATAGCTATTTGAACTAATTTAAAATAGTTAAAGTTAATATGTCAAACATAATTAAAATTATGAAAAATTTCCCCAAGGTCAAATTCCCTTAATATTATACCACTTTTTAAACAAAATGTTCTCTAATATATCACTTTGTAGACTTTTGGAAACTTACAGTACAAATCACTTCAGTTTTGCTTTACATATCAGATTGAGAACGACTCACCTTCAGCATGCATCAATGACCAGAAAGCATGCTTAAATATTATATTGAAAAACCCTACAAAACACTGCTATGTAATTAGTGAAAGACTCTCTGTTGTTCCTTCTTTCCACCTAATGCTTCAACTTTATGAAGAAAGGGTATGGTCTCCATAAGCACATAGCTATATTTGCGTTAAGTATGTAAAAATAACAAAAAGACTATTTAAATAAAGTTTAGCTATAACATAGCAATTACAAAATACTTCCAAAGCTACGTAACTTTAGAGTTTATTTCTTTGAACCTTTCTCCATCTTTAAATAAGATTATTATGAGGAATGTATCCAGTACATGTTTGACATTCAACAAATGACAGCAAAATACAGAAGGTATAATTTAAGAGCTTTAGGCACATTGGTTACATAAAAGGTATTTGTCAAACTCTGAGATGCTTGAGAAAAAGGATTGGTAAGAGCAATTCAGTCTCTCACTTTAGAAATTTTTATATTTGAGGTCCTTTTCATTCCCATAGTGATCTAATTTAGCTGACCCCGTAAAACTCTTTGTAAGTATCTTATATTATGGTCACTGTTTTTTGGGGGGCGTCTGCCCAGAATGCTTTCCCATTTTCCTTCTTCTGGTGGGAAGAGCAACAGATCTTCTCTTTTGTGGAACTACACCATTTTGTGAAGTCCTGTTAGGGCTGTCAATCTATGATGCCTCATTCTCCCCTTTACCATCCCGTACTATTAATAGGTTGAACCATATGAAATGGCTGTTTAGTTGGTAAAAATATGATTGACTATTAGTAATTTCACGGGGTTCAATCTAATACTACTACAATACAGGGGTGGTTGGGAGATATGGGCTAGGTCAAATGGAATTCTACCTAATTTCTCAGAAAGAAAGATGTAGCCCATCCTTCTTAGTTTGCCAGGCCTAGGTCTGTAAGAGATAAAAGGAGTCTTGTCTACACCCAGCTGTTATGAAGGTCCTCTAAAGGCCTGGACCTTCAATACTGAGAGTTGCTCCAATACTGTTTCTAGCTAATTATGTAACCCAATAAATTCCCTTTTTGCAAGCCATCACTTGTAAGCCAAAGGTCTTAAGTCAGTAAATTATTCAAATATGCTTTTCTAAATTGTTCTCAATTTACAAAGATTAGTTATATATTTAAAGTAGAACTTATGCAATTTAATAAATAATCTTAATTATTTTGGGAAGGTCGCAGGGCCTGGTAGAAAGATTATTAAATTATAATGCCAAGGTTATAGCCCTGGGTTTTAGAATTGACATGGTAATTAGTCTTCACTTTTGGCAAGTCACTTAACTTTTATAAAATATGATTTTTTTAAAAAAAATGACTAATGTTTTCACTTTGTGAAACTTGGATAGTTACATGAAAGGTGGTTCAGCTTGTAAAAATCCTACCATTACCTGGTGGATACTGTGATAAGGGTAATTTTTCAAAGGGCAAAATAAGCATGAAGTTAACTATTAACAATGTCCTGCATTTATATTGTACCTTTCATATTTATTGTCTCACCCCCTCCTCATAGTATCTATATTTTGTATTTGAAACAATTTGAGTTAAATAGCTTGCCTCAGGTCACCAAACTAGTCTTGATATCTGAGACCCAAACACACACCTCAACTCACAATTTAAGTGCCCTTTACTCTTTCTGACACAGCATTCTAATCACAGGACTACGTGTGTGTGTGTGTGTGTGTGTGTGTGTGTGTGTGTGTGTGTTTCCACAAAGCCAATGAAGGGGCTTAAACTATTAAGTGACTTAACCAGGTTTTTGTTTGAAAAGATCACTTTGGCTGCCGTGTGAGAATGGATTGAAACAGGATAAGCGTAAATCTTAAGAGACCAGGCGGGATGCCGCTATTGCAGTAACCCATATAAAAGAAGATGGGGGCCTAGGCTATGGTTAAAGTATCCATGTGCTTCAATTTGTCCAGGAAAATATGTCTGCTATTTCAATATAAATATTACCATAATGCTCCTTCTTTCACTCTCAAGTTTCCCAGTTTGGATATCAATTACAGGGTCACAATGGAGATGCAAAGGAGTATAATAGTTGATTTCTTCAGTTCTTATAGCTCTAAAATTCTATAACCCCTTCCTGTCTAAAATCTTGGCTCTTCACCTTTTCAGGTGAGGCAAGAATCTCATTGGGAACCCAATAAAAGCTGTGGTAGAATAGTACATGAGCTCTGGTGTTACATTGCTTGTGTAAATGTTTGCTACTTAGCAGCTCTGTGACTGGTTTCCTCATGTGTAATTTCTTCATGCTAATTAGTACTTATCTCAAGCTTGGGGTTAATTTGATGAAATAATGTACTGCGCTGCCATATAATGAGGGGTCAATAAGTTATTATCACGTACAGTGATGGTCTTTACTATACTATTTATTATTGCACAAAACTGAAAATGACATAAAGTCCATGAATGGGGTTTATAAGCTATGATATGTTGACACCAAACAACATTTAAAAACAATGTGGTAGGAGTCCAAGCTAAAACTTTGAAAGAGCCACAAGACAAGTGGAATAAGCAATTGCAAAACAATATGCACTGAATAATTAACCCCCCCCAATACTTCTAAAAAATAAGTAAAGACTTCATATTTTTATATGTATGTAATGTAGACACAGAAACAAGTCTAGGTGATTGGGTTACTTCTGAATAGAAGAGTGAGATTAGAAGGAGAGGGGATAAAGGGAAAGTTTTAATTTTTCGTATAAGTACTTCCATATCATATAAATTTCACAATAAAAACATATCATATGCTGCTTAAACATACATTTAAGCTAAAATGCATTGCTTCTGAAGCTTGAGTTTTTTAAAAGCAAGTTTCCTCTAGACAGTGTTCCAATTTTATAGAGGACTATTAAGAGTGAAAGACAATTAACTTTGCACTCATAGATTACTAAAGCTAGAAAAAAGAGACTATCCCTAAAGGCCAACAACCCATCCTGCCATCTATATATATAAAGAGTCAGGGGCCATCGCAACCGAGCGGACGATTGAACGACTAAACAGCAGACTGCGTGGGGCGACCAGGCCAGCAGTAGGGTTAGTGAGAAACAACCAAACGGATGAACAGCAGGCTGTGTGGGGCAACCAGGCTGGCAGGGGGGCAGTGAGGGGCAACCTGGACGGCGGGGGTGGGCAGTTGGGGGCAACCAGGCCAGAAGTGGGGGAAGTTGGGGGCAACCAGGCTGTCAGAGGGGGGCAGAGGGGAGCAGTGAGGAGCGACCAGGATGGCAGGGGGTAGGGGGGGGCAGTTGGAGGTGACCAGGTCAGCAGAGGGGTGCAGTTAAGGGCAACCAGGCCGGCAGAGGGGGGCAGTGAGGGGCAACCTGGACGGCGGGGGTGGGCAGTTGGGGGCAACCAGGTTGACAGGGGGTAGAAGTTGGGTGCTACCAGGCCAGCAGGCAGAGGCAGTTAGGGGTGATCAGGCTGGCAGGGGGGCCAGTAGGGACGATCCAGCAGGCAGGCAGATGAGCAGTTAGGAGCCAGTGGTCCCAGATTGTGAGAGGGATGTCTGACTGCTGGTTTAGGCGTAAACCAGCAGTTGAACATCCCCCTAGGGGTCCCGGATTGGAGATGGTGCAGGCTGGGCTGAGAGGACCCCCCCCCACACACACACACACAAATATCGTGCATCAGGCCTCTAGTTTATAGATAAGTAAACTAAGACTCTGGGAAATGAGGTGAGTTACTCATGGTCACACAGCAAATTGTAATTAGAGTTCCATCCTCAGACTATAGAATTCATCACTCTTGCCCTTTCAATTTGAAAACTTTGTTTTTATTTTTAATCTTCCAATCTTTAAGGTACCACATTGTCATTCACAATACATTTTTAAGGAATACATCTATTCAGTAAAGAGAATATCTATTTTCTGGGGGCTTTTTACAATTCTTTTTCTTAATTCAAGTACATTTTCCTCTTCTTTCTTAGCTCCTTCTAAAAATAGTTTCTAGCCCTAACCGGTTTGGCTCAGTGGATAGAGCGTCAGCCTGTGGACTGAAGGGTCCCAGCTTCGATTCCGGTCAAGGTCATGTGCCTTGGTTACGGGCACATACCCAGTAGGGGGAGTGCAGGAGGCAGCTGATCGATGTTTCTCTCTCATCGATGTTTCTAGCTCTCTATCCCTCTCCCTTCCTCTCTGTAAAAATTCAATAAAATATATTTAAAAAAATAGTTTCTAGCCTTGAGTGTTAAATATAAACTATGAGTGAATTTTCAAGCACTCTTAAATTCATGTGAGTGTGTAGGGCAGGCGGGGGAGGGGTGGTGGTGGTGGTGGAGAAAGTAGGTCCATAAACCTTTATCCATCAGTCTATTCTATTTATTGGCATAACTAAATCTCTTATTAGAGATGCAAGCAAATTTGTATATAACTAGTAAACTTTAATATTTAATATAGTTTTAAAACAGCTGTTTATTATACTTTCACTAAAGTGAATCGTAGCTAATTTGTCTTCTGAATTGTCAAGAAATATGTGTTACCTTTGCAGCGATAAATATATTGTATTCTAAATATCCAAAAGTTGGCAATCCAGTATATTAGAATGAGATAGTCCCATAACATTCTAGCAATTTTGAATGTCAATGATTTTCTGTAAATTGTTCTAAAATGAAGTATTTCCTTTCTTGTC